CCTATATACACTTGAGGAATTTTATGAGTGTTCGTAAAACCGAATTGAAGTGAGACCAGATGCCATTGCATAATAATTATTTGCATTATCCTTGAGTTAAAGAAAATTTGTTTGGATAAAATCATGAATACTTTAATTACTACATGGAGAGAGCTAAAAGAAGTGATCCTAGAGAAATTATTTCCACAATCAAAAAAGTTGTTGCTGAAATATGAAATATCTAGCTTGAGGTAGGTACCTAGAGATGCTTTATATAAGACATGGGAGCGGCTTACAAAGAAGCTGAAAAAGTGCCACATTACTGGATACACAACTATTTGCTCCTAGAAATATTCTAAAAGAATTATACTCTAATGCTAAGGTACTGGAAGACACTATAATGAGAGGAGTATTCTAGAAAAACACTTTTAAGGAAGTGACACTCGATGGAGTTATGAAAACCAATAGAGCTTGACACACAAAGGAAACATAGACTTCTAAGGGTACTTATGTTGTAGGTTCACTATAGGATATATTGATAATAAACGATGAGTCGAGTCAGGAGGTAGACCAGATGATAACTGAATTTAACATTGTTGGGAGATATATTATAGGTAGTGGATGAGAGAAAATTAATGTCGTAGGCTCACATGACAGATGAGAAGTGGTAATAAATGTTATATTTACACTTATTTATGTCCTATCAACAATTTGAGTCATCAATGCTTAATATTATGTCCTATACTAATGATATTTTAATGATTTACAACTATGAAAGCTAAGGGACAAGGCCAAAAACATTGAAAATAGTAGAGAGTTCCAACATGTGTTAACCTAATCGAAAGGGTGAATCACTCAAACCCTTGAACCTTTATGAAATGGACAGTGTTTGGAGATTAAGTGTTAAAGTTAATGGACTAAGCAGAGTCGAATTGGCGATTCACCAAATTACTAAAAGTGAACCCAGTTGCATTGCCAAAAGTGATAGACTCAAGCGAAAAAGTGAAGGCTATTTTAGGCACACTAGTTGACACTTGAGAATTCACCAATTATGAAGGTCGTGTTCCATCAATTTCTCCCCTTTGAGTTATAGTTGAAGCATGATACGAATGATGATTCACTAAGTGGGTTTGGTGAGTCTGGCTAACAGCGCCGAATGGGATGGAGTTATTTTTATAAAGTATAAAGTAGTTTTCAAAAGTGAAAAAATGGATTTATCCTATATTTAATCATTTTTTTTACTCTTGAAACTCCTATGAAGAGAAAAATATTCAGTATTTCTCTTAGTTTGACATGTTTCTCTTGTAATTGACTATTGGAGAGTGAAATTAAAGTGAGTTTTGATTATATTGCTTAATTTCATCACATTCATGGTTGATATCGTAATATGTATAATTTTTGCACTTTTTTTATGGGTGTTGATAGTTGATTTAGTGTATTTCTTATATCGTTCTATTTTATTGTCTTCCATTATGGATTTGAGCTGTTAGAATGTGATTAATTTAGGGGTTAAACTGGCCATGTTAATCCTGTGTCAAAGTATCGATTTTTTTCTTGAAAGATTCCAATAAGAGTGGGTAATTAGCTAACCAATCTAGGTGAAGCTAGTTGCAAAGGCAAAGTAAGGGGTTAAATTTCAAATTACATAAATGAGATTGGAAAGAGATTTTATGAACTAAAGTTATGAGAACGAAAAAGATAAAAATTATTGAAAATGACCCAACTTATCCATGATCGGTGAGATTTATCTAGAAATCTTAAACCTATGTGACTTCGATTTCCAATCCTCACACCCTTAGAATTGTTATGAATTGCATAAACTCTATTTAGTATAATTCGTTGCTCATATATGATTTTGAAATTACTTTATTAAATTTTGTGGAATAGTCCACACAATTTCCTCATCTAATACAATATATTAGTCACATTTTAATTCACCTTTGAGTTGTATCTTTACACTACTCTTTGTGGGATTCGACCTCGACTCTTAGTTGTAGTTGTGTCGTTATTTTCTTGTAGTTTAATAGTTTTACACTTGCTTTTGTTGTTGTGCCATATTGGTAGGTGGTCTAATGATATCAAATAGTGGTGATAATTCTAATCGCCATGGGCAAGATAGTAATGTTAGAAAGAGGGACATGATGAATTTTAAGTCACAAAAAAAGATTGGATCAATTCAGTTACCAAATGTTCAAGAGAATATTGCCTTTATCATAACCGAATCAATGTTCCAGGTGATCAAATGAGAGGGTTATTCGGAGGTTTTGAGCATCAATTTCCCAATAATCATCTCTATAGGTTTGTGAATGTGTGTGGACCTTTTCTGGTTTTAGGGGATTTCACAATAGTCAATGCAGTTGAGGTTGTTCCTTTTTTCTTTGGTGGAGGAGGCTAATACATCATACTTTATAATACTTTTTTGTTTCTATGTCTTGTATTTTGCATCTGAAGTGTTGTTGTGATTCCCCTATACTTTCCTTGGCCCCATATGTCTTATTATCTACTTTTGAGGTTGGTTTATCAAACCCTATTTGATCTTATGATGTACTGAGACTCTTAATCGGAACTCTCTGCTTTGATTATATTCATGTGACTAATATAAATTTTAAATTGAACTCTAGCATGTTAATCTATTGTTTGGGCAAGTGTATCTAAGTTTCTCATGTTTCATATTGAAATTTTTGGTGTTGCATGTTGGCTATTGTGCGGGTGAAGTTTTCCACACAATCAATTTGAATAGAATATAAATTAAGGACTAAACATCAAAGAACTATTCTCTCACCCATAAGGGAATTCACATGTATGCATAAAGAACCACAAACTTGTCCTTCATACGGGCTATTATGCGTGTGAAGTCTTCCACTCAATCAGTTTGAATAGAATATAAATTAAGAACTAAGCATCAAAGAACAACTTCCACAAAAAAATCCACATGTTACATTCCACCAAAGTGCACTTGCGTTCGCCCAGTTTTCTTTATTCATGAGCCAACTGACTGCACCTTTTAGCATGTTAGAAACTCACTCGGCGAGTCACCGAGTGGATTTTTCAATCTCTAACCTCCCTTTTCTTCAGCTTTCCAACTTTTATGATTCTTTTCGCAATGTAATGTTATTGCCTTGTTCTTTAGCCTTCATGGATGCACATAAACAAATTAACATCAATTATGAATAAAAAATAGGAATTGAGCACACTAATTCATTAAATTACAAGTCTTAAATGAGTCAATATTCACAACTCATCAGCACCCTTAACTTAAACTTTAACTTGTCCTCAAGTTAAATAGGAGATCAATCAGGTCAACAAAGATATCTACAAGCAGTGCTCCTTGAGACTCCACATAAAAGTGCATACAAAGTTCAATCCAAACATGCAATGTTCAATTGTGCAGTCAAAGTTTCCAATCACCATCATTAATTAGAGTTCATGATCGCAAATGCTTGCAAATTCATGCCCAACAAAAGTATTTCAATGCCCTCATATCAAGAATGATCTCATGCTCTCGCAAAGTCAATCAAAGATAAAAATTCAAGGAATCAAAATCAACTCTCACACTCTCAATAAGAAAAATGTGTATGATTTTACCTATAGGCTTGCCCATATTTTTAAATTAACACATCACTTGGCTTATAAAAGATCAAAAAGGTCTTTCAAGGTTTTTAATTGGGTTAAGGGTATGGGTATGATCATTTCGGCTTACTGACCTCTATCTTCATGAAGCATGACTCAAACTTCACTTATTTTCCTTTTCTTTTATTATTTATTGGTCTATTCATAGCACAAATATTTTTTGTATTACTCGTCGAACACCTCTTTTATTTCCACAACAATGCACAATAGATACAAATTTATCATTTCTTTTCTTTCTTATCTTTTTTTTCACATCTCTCATTTGTTATATGGAGGGGTTCCAAGTTTTTTTCTACTCCACATGTTCCCAAAGAAGAATTTCACAAACTTCTTGCTCGGTTCTTTCCTCATTGTTACCACACCCCAACATAGACTTTTGGCCCAAGTGGCTATTCAAACAAACCAATTATTCACGAAGGTTATAGGTGGAAAAGACATGGCAATTTCACGAACCAGTCTAAATATTTCTGTTCATGTTTCATTTAAATAAAAGGTTAGTCTCAAATAGTGCCAAGCTAGGTGGTCACACACTTACAACGTGGTCACACAGAGGTATAACAATTAGGTTCCCTCTAAAAAGTTCATGCCTAAGATCATTTCATTCATTCATATATCAATTCTTGTAAATTGAACCAATGGGGCAAGTACTAGGTGTCGGTATCCACACATTTCAAGTACATCTCACCACACATGACATTCAACACAATCATTGATCACAACTCTACATGTTAATCTCGTGTGCAATGATAATTGCAAGACTAACCTTGACATTTGACTAGTCATAATGACATGATAAGAGTTCACACAAGACTTATGACAACTCAAATTGCCTCGTTGGACTAATACAAAGATATTGTTCATCAATAACACTATTCAAGTCATCAATATTGATACCAACAAACACTCAGATGTACAACTGAACACTAGCCAACATTCAGATTAAAGCAATTATGAGGGAGACTAATGAGTTGAATCTAAAACATCAATATATAAATAATAATCCAAATGAAAATAACAACATATCTCAAAAAATGAAATACAACCAAAAGGAAACAACAAAATACTACAAAAACGTAGATATTTAGTTAGCTTCACCCACCAACAGAACTAAGCAATGTCCTCAATGCAAAATAAGCTTACAGTATCAACAAGGAATAAAATTCAGGGAGAGTAAAGATCCCTTTGTCAGTCAGAGCTTGAGGTGAACTCTATGTCATTAGAGTGGCTTGCATCAGTGTCCTTCTCGACTACAACTCCGAAAGCCTGCATAATGATATTCTGTGTGGGCTTAGACCCACTAGAATCATCATGGACGTGTCACGTAGTGATGCCTCCATGGCCACCCATAGTAAATCACCATCCAAATCCTCCAAGTCCTCATACACCTCATCCTAATGAGATAATAAATCCTCCTCATCGATCTCCGGCGTGTTACACTTTCCATCCTCATCAATTACATTAACATCTTTGGTCACAATATTAGTAAGGATATGAGAAATAGTTAAAATCGTAGGCATATTAGAATTAGGTTCCTCAGGGATATCTACAGCACCCCACAACATCGATATATCGGTGGATTTCACCTCATCCACATCCTGATGCAAACCAGTAATATCGACCTTTAGGGCTCTCGAATCAATGGAGTTGTAGTTTTTCATCTCATACACCTCAACCCAAGTGGTGAGGGCATCCAATTCTCATTCATGGGTCGAACGAGATCCGGTGCAACAACCTTATCTTGATCAATCATGGATATAACAATGGCCTTAACCGGAGAACTCCTCACATCGGAAAAATGGGTAATGTCACCCATTTTATAAATCATGATCTGGGAAAAGGAGGATGGTAGACAACAGTAGGAGTAGGATAATTAATGTTCGACGGGGAAAGTATACTCGAGGGCTAAACTTCTAGGTGGACTGAGTGGGGTCGACCTCTGTAGACTCCACATTAACTACTGTTGAAGTTTCCATCAGAGCTTTCTTCTTCTCTGCCTGATCCTTCATATACTCTACTCCAATCCCATGAATATAACAAGATGAGGAAAGAGTAACCTCACTACCTACCATTTCAACAAAGATCACACTTGCTTGGCGACACCAGACACTAATTAAAATCAAAAATTACAATGATGCTTAATTTTTTTGTCCCTCATACCGATATCCCGTGTAATAATTGACTTAAGGTTCAACCTATCTTAGTCGATGATACACCCTAGAAGTATATCTTTTGAATGCGGGATGATAGACTCATTCTGTGATAGTATTAACGTGTTGCTAATGAACCCGAACTAGTACCATACCATGATGTTCAAATCATTCTTCTCAATAATAGCCTCCACCTTGATCGAAAGGGGTGTGGTATTACACAGAAGTAGGGCAAGCCACCCCTTTAGTTCATCCAAAGTCTTATATTGATTTATAGGCCAAACAGTTTTGATTCTGCACCATGCAGTCTAACTCATCATTTATATATGTTTTGGTACGCTTGACTTTCTTTTCCCGCACCTCTACAAACATAATCACTGCCATCATTTTTCCCTTTTCGTATCAACTTGGTGTCCCCTCATAGAACTCTCGAACCCACGTAGGAACTTACAAACTACGATGTTCTATGAATTGATAGAACTTGTGGTCCGTCTCCCAAACTGTAATATATTTGTCCACCTTTCCATTTGTGGACGGCCGCTTCTCCTCAAGTATAATCTGCAAACCAACGACCTTTTACTGATTCAGAGACTGAGTTTGCTTTACCAAAAAAAGAGGCACTTGTAGTGACGGCGATTCCTATGGTGCTGGAGGTAGTGTCAGTGGATGACGCGCTACTTTAGACCGCAACTATGAACAATTAGCTTTACCCACTTATGCATTCAAGAATCATCCAAATACACCACATCAATCTGGTTCACAGAGGGCCATTCTCCAAAGTAAACTTCAACCCATCTTCATTCTCAACTTCTATTATCCCGTTTGCAAAAACACGATTTACTTTGAGTGGACCTAACCATTTTAAATTGTGTTTTCCCAGAAAGAGTCTCAAACAAGAGTTGTAGAGCAACACAAGATCACCAACTTTAAACCCTCGGTTAAGAATTTTAGCATTATTCCATTTCTTCATTTTATTTTTATAAAAGGCTGAAATCTCATAAGCTCAAAGTTGAAACTCTTCCAAAGCTTGGAGTTGGTCAATTCGATCCTTCAATGCATCCTCGCAATTCAAGTCGGCCTTTAAGGCTTACAAGGTTTGATGCTTAAGTTCAACCGGTATATGAAAAGATTTACCAAACACCAATTCATATAGGGACATACAGAGAATGGTATTGAATGTATTTTTATATACCTAAAGAGCTGCATCTAACTTTTGAAACCAATCAGTTCGATTTGCCTTAACAATCTTGGCCAAATTCCTTTGATTTCCCGGTTCGACACCTCGACTTGCCCATTTGTTTGAGGATGTTAAGGGGTGGAAAACTTATGTTTGGCTCCATACTTGCTTAGAAACGATTAGAATATTCAGTTATAGAAATGAGATCCCCCATCACTAAAGACTACACATGGAGTGCCAAACCTCGTCAAAATGTACCTCTTGAGGAATTTAACCACGCTTCTCCCCTTATTGTTGGGTAAGGCCACTACATCTACCTATTTAGATTCATAATCAAAAGCTACAAAGATGTATTTGTTCACATAAGAACTTATGAAATCGATTCTTTAAGAACTTACAAAAGGACCCATGAAATCTATTTCCCAAGCATCAAATAACTCCACCTCTAAAATAACAATGAGGGGTAATTCATGTCTTCACGACACTCCTTGCTTTTGGCATTGTGCACACTTTTTAACAAGAGATTTCACATCTTGATACAACGTTGGACCATAATACTCTCTAGATATTACCTTAGCAGTTGTATGCATGGCACTATGGTGCCCACGACCGGTGAAGCATGACAAGCGTCAAGAATAACATCTAACTGATCTTTTGGGACTCTTCTTCCAATCATGTGATCTTCACACTATGGAAATAGGTGAGATTCATCCATAAGTACTTCTTCACATTGAAAAGAAACCTATTTCATTGGTGGAAATTCATCCCATTGGGAAGAATCCAACACACCACATAATTCTCAAAATCAGCATACCAATGCAGAGTACCATTCAGCACAATAACCATCTACTCATCGGGAAAGGCTTCCTCAATATCTTTTTAACCAGAAACTAACACATTTGTTTCAAGACTCAATAAGTGATCTGTCACTTGGTTCTCACACCCCTTTCAATCTTTGACCTCAAAGTCAAACTATTGCAATAGTAATACTCATCAGATCAAGCTTGGCTTTTCATCATTTTTTGCCATTAACGTATAGTAGTACGGTTGGTGTGTACCACCACTCCCCAAACTATAAGATCTAAGCTTCTCAAATGCATACACCACAACTAACAACTCTTGCTCAACTACATTGTAGTTTTTTTTAGCTACATCCAAAGTCTTTCTTGTATAGTAGATCGGGTAAAACAAATATCCCTTGCATTGGCCTAGAACAACCCCCAAAGCCACACCACTCGCATTACACATTAGCTCAAATGGAATATTCCAATCTAGAAAAACTTTGATAGGAGCCGAAACAAATTAATCTTTTATACAAAAAAAATGCCTTGAAACAAGCTCTATCAAACTCTAAGACGATTTTCTTTTGAAGTAGCTAAAAAGAAGGAGAGTCACCTTACAGGAATCTTTTATTAACCTTTGGTAGAAATTAGCATGACCCAAGAAACTTCTAACACCTTTAACCGAGATAGGAGGAGTCAACTTGGCGATAACTTCAACTTTATCTTTATCAACTTGTATGCCTTCTCACAAAATTTTGGGCCCCAATACAATAATTTCCTTGACCATGAAATGACATTTCTCCCAATTGAGAAAAAGGTTTGTTTTGACATATCTTTACGGAACTCTACCAAGGTGCTCAAGGCATGGTTCATATGTATCTCCCACAACTGAAAAGTCATCCATGAAAACCTCTATCGAATCCTCTACCATATAGGCAATAATAGAGAACATGCACCATTGAAATGTCTTCGGTGCATTATACAATCTAAATGGAATTCTTTTGAAAGAAAACATTCTATAAGGACATGTAACAATTGTCTTTTCTTTATGTTCCGGTGCAATGGAGATTAAATTATAATCGGAGTAACCATATGAGGAGCAATATCATTACCGCCATGGAAGTCTATCAAGCATTTGATTGATAAAAGGCATCGAGAAATGATCTTCTCAGTCCATACATTCAACATTCAATAGTCCATACGTACAAGCTAACTGATAACCGGTTGCATTGGAACAAGCTCCCATTTTCCATTAGGAACCATGGTCTACCACCTTTCTTTGGAGCAGACTAAACGATATTAACCCAATTAATATCCACAATAAGGTAGACAACTCCCACATCTAGCCAGTTCATAATCTCTTTCTGGAGCGCTTCTTGCATGGATGATTTAACCTCTTTTGATGTTAAATACTTGGCATACAATCACTTGACAATTGAATCTTGTGGGTACAAATATCAGGAGGAATTCCCACAATGTGGCAAGTGTCCACCCAATAGCTTTGATAAATATTTTCAACACATTAACTAGCGCTTGCGCTTGCCATTCAATCAAATTCGCAACAATATTCACGGATAAAGTATTATTGGCTCCCAAGAACACATAACGAACGTGAGGTGGAAGACCTTGTATTCGAGCTTTGGTGGTTCTTCAATAGATGGGTTTATGGGAGGACTTTCCCTATTCTTCAAATCATCATATAGTTTCAAACGGATCCTAGAATAAGAACCTAAACCCGATAGATAACACACTACCTTATCATAATCTTGACTTTCCTTCCCGTCATAGTTCAAAATGATAACCAAAGATTTACCAACACAAGAAACTTCACTCACACTAGCAACTTCTTCATCAATCACGTCAATGACCGATATAATATGAAGGTAACTTGTTTGCTTTATCGATTTGAAAATATTGAATGTAACTTCCTCACTATTTAGCCGGAATTTTAATTCACCACTTTCTACATGAACATGGTCTTTTTGAGTATCCAAGAATGACCTAACAAACATAATAGGGACCTTGACATCAATCTTGCAATCAAGGATCACAAAATAAACCAGAAATATAAATTTGTCTATCTTCACAAAAACATCATAAAGAATTCAAATAGGGTGCTTGATAGAATGGTCATCCATAAGAAGATGCATAGTTGTGGGATAAGGCTCATCTAGCGCAAGTTGCTCGAAGATGGCATAGCATATGAAGTTTAGACCATCCACCAAATCACACAATGTTTTAATGAATTCGAACATCCCACTAGTGCAAGGATAGTAAATTCCCCCAGATCATCGTTCTTGAAAACCAAGTTGCTCTACATAACAACACTGCAATTATGGGATATTTCAATCATCTCAAAATCCATACTTATCTTCTAGTGACCAACTCTTTCATGAACCTTGCATAACCCAACATTTGCAACAACACCTCCCCAAAAGAAAGATTAATGGAAAGAGGTGAAGAAGGGAAGAGAATTTTGGAAATTTGTCTCTTCATCCCTCTTCTTCAATCCTTTAGAGAATGGTGAAGTAACTTTGGGCAGCAGCATAGTAAGAGCTGAGGGAGGTACAACCCCCACATTTTCACCTTTATGTATCAACGGACGCAACTTTTTGGTGCATCATCAAACTCGTTGGAATTCACATTGTTCAACTCTTTGGTAAGTACATCATTTTCAAAAACAATGGTTTTCTTTTTGCTCGAACTCACATTATTATCATTTGGAACATCACTTCCCACACTTTACCACTCCGGGTGATTCTTCAAACTGGCCATGGTATCACTAGGAAGACCCCCTTTTTGGTCATGGATTCATGTGAGCAGAAACTCAACCAATTTGGGTCTCAAGCTGTTTTATCAAAATCAAATGAGAGGTCACCTTTTGATTCAAAGAGAAGAAATCAAACTTCATTTCCTTAAGAACCTTATTTGTTCCTTCCACCTTATTTAGGATGAGGTCAAGC